TGCCTACAAATTCTAGCCTAGTACTTTGATGTTTTAGGTAGAGAAGCCTTCCAATTTTGCCCAACCTAATTCTAAAATAAAATACAAAAATGATTAAATTTCCCTCATTTTGCGTACGTAAATAGACGTTCTGGAAGTTTGTCGAAAATGCAAATTGCCGACGGTTTACACATGAATAAGAAGAGTTTGGCCTCATTTTTAACAATTCACAAATGTCCACGGAATAATGAAGTTTTCCCTAACAAAAGATTGTGAAGAATTGAACACAACTGCCAAAAAAAAAAATGCGCAGCACTCAACAATATAATATTCGTTTTAGGTACTTCTCAAGAAAAACTGCGAAGACATTGTAGTGCAGAGAAGGGCGGTCGAGTACGTTAATTTCAAAATCTTTTTAACCCTTCAGCATAACGTACCGCTTCTAATTGTTAAATACAAGGCTCATCTTTGTAAATTTACAACATCTCATCTATAGAGCTCTCTATCACTACCTTAGAAAGATATTAAAAATGTACTTGTTGAAAATAACATCTCGAAAACTGGATTATCTATCATTTGGATTAAAATAATCGTTTAAGGAGTGACTTCCTCTTCATCATCTTCATTAAGAGAAGCTTTTTCACAGAATCCGGTAAGAACTTATCGTCAACATTCCCCTTTAGATACATATAGCATCTAAAATTTAATTCCCATTCCTACTGCTTTATCTTAGTTTGCGTGGGTGTCCTGATTGAAGTAGCGACTAAGCAAGAGGAAAACTAGGCCAAAGCGTGTACAGCTGAAAGTACGCAGTAATTAGTCTTTTGGACTCGCGTTCAGCCTCTGACTCTTTAAAGGTCTCGCAAAAAAAGTTAGAAAAAGAGGAACATTTACTTTATCGAATTTGCTTCCTGGTTTTTAACCGCTTAGTCATGCCATGCTACTTAACAGCATTATGTAGCTATTTATTTTATCTCTTTCTTGTCTGCCCCATGTTTCCAGACATATTCACTGCATTATCGTTGCCTTAAAGCGGCAGATTATATCTCTTGCGTCGAAGATCTTATTATCTCTGCTATATGAAGTTATATAACAACTGAATTCAGATAACCTTACGTATGGTCAAACATGGAATTGCCAGAAAATGGTCCTCTACCATTTTTTCGTCAAGAAATGTACATGGTCATATTACAGTCGGTCTTCTACGGCGGCGTATTCCTAGTCGGATTCTTTGGTAAGCAGTTTGACCACAATTGAGCTTACAGGGTAGCTCCGACTACATTTAAGATGTTTAGGCTTAAATTATTTACTTACACCTACATTTACTATTAATAATTAATTTTCAGCGTGTAGAAGCAGTTATCTCTTTCATTTGGACTATGTAATTGCTTTCATAAGCTAAATATTTTCATATAATATAAGTTAAATGGCACTTTATGTTTTTATGATTTTATATCTTCATAATAACCGCTTGTCTTACCAGGAAACATCTTCGTAGTGTTGGCCGTAGTATCACAGTCACAACTACGAAGTACAACTGATTACCTCATCTCATCGCTGGCCATGGCCGATTTGCTCATCATCATTTTTTGCCTTCCAACCACTTTGCTCAACAATATTTTAACAGGTGAGCAAATATTTATTTATAGTAAGCAATCCTTAGTTTTCAACTGCCATATAATTAGTATTCGCAATAAAGTTTTTTTTTTCTCAGAAAATGTTTATCTTTTGAAATACTTAAATTCAGCATTAAAGGAGTTTTTTTCCTTCTCAAAAAGAGTTCATCTTGTTGGAATGTCGTCAAAAATTATTTGCAATATCTGCAATTTTCAACGCGAATGTTTCGGATAGCATTGACATGATATCAAAACTTCACCTTATCAAAATTTTATTCCTTATTACCTCAGACCTCACAATGAGACACTTATTTTTGTTGTTAATAATTACCCGAATTCGCTTCAAGCCTTAACCTTATACTTATGACCATTAGTGATCGCGATTATTGCATACATAGAGATTATAAACAATTCTGAAAGTGGCTCAAAAAACATTTGTTAAAGACCAACTCAAAAGACTTACATATCATACAGTAACCACGGTAATTGTTCGCAAAAAAGCGAAAAAAACGCGGATCCGCGTTTTTTTTTTCGTTTTTTCTCCATAACTACGTTACTAAACAGAATTTCTTG